GCAATTGAATGAGCTGGGAGCGGCTTGTCGTCAGACTTAGATTAGTGAGAAAATAGCCTCCAGTTTGGTGACCTACAAAGCTTCAGTGTCCATGGTAATTGCAAATTTACATTATTTCTTAGTAAATTTCATCTACGTTTTCCGGTAAAGTCAACACAGAAGTGTAATTTGAAATGGGTGTCAAAGATGCTGAGCGCCCCCCCCCCCCTCCCCCACGGAAAAAGGGGGTGGTAGAAAAAGAAAAAAAGAAATGATAGTAATTGTTCAACGGACGGAATAATGTTGGTTTCCATGATTTCATTATTTTGACGAGCGCCTGATTTAACCACGATGCATCACTAATGTATGAGTGGACAAACGGGCCTACATAGGCTGCCATTTTACAACTTTAAATTCGGTCATGCCCAATGTCAATTATGGCTGAGATCAGGTTTTGTCTGAGTGGGTGCTCTGGTGTGGTTCGCTCCCTCTTTTCCATCACACGTATATAATCGTTCTCGTCTCCTTTCATTTTGGGTGTGTTACTCTCATTTAAGTGTTACTCTCATTTAACTTCTTTAATCTCTAGCAGCTTACTTGAACTAACGGTGTTGCAAGTGCCGTAAAACTATCTGTACCCGTGGTTTTATGCACCTCGCTTGATTTAGCAAAATTCGATCATTTTTACATAGTTTCTGATTATTTTCCTTTATCGTTCTTTGTTAAAATTAACAGAAACCCCTAATTTCACATTTTTGGGCTCAGTTTGCATAATTTCAGAATTTTTCTTACATAAAACGAAGGGGACAGAACTATTACTATAACAACACAAAAATGTCTATACTTTTGCCTTTCATCAACCCGACAAGGTGGAGACGAGAAGCAAAAGACTGTAACAATATTATAATCATCATCAGAGAGGACAATCACTTGACCTTGCCCTACGAGAGGCGGCGACTCCTAGCAACAAGCAGTGGCATGACTTTTGACACACACGATGACACACTGTACACATGACCAGTATATAGCCCTGCTCACTTGTCACAAGGGCTCGGTTAATTGTCCTGCAATGAGCCTGAACAATGGATGAAACAGGATATTCCTTTTCTCTCTCCACACTCGCATGAGGAAAACGAGATATACATATTTCAGACAGGGTTGTTGTTTGTCGGTAAGTTGAAATTTTTTAATAAAAAAAAAAAATGAGAGTACAGAAAGGAAAAAAGCAGCAGAAAAAACGAAGGTTGAAAACAGTCAGGTTAATAACTGAGAATTTCTTATTCCATGTCTTTTCCAAATTTCTGTACTCAATTTTGAGCAAGGTATAAGTTACTTCAATTTAAAAAGAACGTGATGTATTATTACTATTAAAACCAAAACAATTTTTAAAAAAAATTAAACAAAATAATACGACGGATAATATAGAAAATTGCTATAAAATAATAATAGTAATAATAAATAA